GGCTTGTGCTAATTGTCGTCATTGTCGATATTATAGCTGGATCTTGGAGTAAAAAATTTCACGCCTTCACTGTTTTGTAAGCCGTCTGGAGTAGTCTCTGATTCGGACACACGTGGAATGCGTGATGCAATAGATGACAGCGAACAAGAAGCGGTGGCCGGATTTGAACTAAAAGATCCCTCCCTCGTTTGGTCTGGAGGCCGGTCTGGGGTGGTATACCCCGAATACGATGCACTAACGCTATCAGGTCTACAAATAGCTTCATCATTGATGCTTCCGTTGTCTTGACTGCATGACATTTCATTTCGTCTAGAACGAAATAAAAGACAAATTCTACAAAAACCGAAGCAGAATGTAAACAAAGTCAAAACACCGATGATATATGGTCCAGCTTTCTTCCAATCATCATTGGATTTCAAATATCGCGTGACTTCGGGGATGTCGGCGTACCAGGCCAGAACCGCTGCAATGGTAAAGAAGGCAAAAAGTATTGCAAAAATAACACAGCAGCAGGCAAGATCACAGCATGGACTGCTGTAACATGTAAGCTTACAACAACAGCAATCTTGAACGCAACACGATGTAGATCTAGAACCTTGTTCATCACTTTGAATTCGATTATTGGAGTATGCGATTTTCGGACCGCTCGTTGAATCGCTTACTCTAACATAATTTAATATCATCTCCGGGTTTTCGTAATGCTCTTGTATGTGCTTCTTTATCATGTGTACCAAATCTCTTCTCCTCAGTTCTTTGATAATAGCCAGCAAGCTTGCAATCTTTTCCGGTTCGCTGCCGATCACGTTTTGTCGCATCAGAATGTTGAAGACGTCCCAGCCGATCTTGATCTTTTCACGCTCACCACCCGGAATGTATTCTGCACAGACATTCTTTAAACTCTGCAGATCCTTGTCCTCTAGTTCATTGCTGAGGTTATTCAACAGAATCGGAAATGGGTTGATACGAATCATGGCTGACTGGGTCCTGTTGCTTCCGTCTGGAACGAAGAAGCCCTCTCGATGATAGTCCACAAGTTTGGTTCAAGTTATATTTCGGTAAATGAATGACTAATGAAAAAATCCCTGTCTAGTTGTTACTTTTCCCACGAACAGTCTGTCGAACTGAAAATCCTTGAGATCGAATCTGATCAAAGAACTAGACAATCACCACAAAGTTCTTCGCTCGCTAAGCTCTGATCCGTTTCCACGGTTACCACGTGACTTCTCACACGTGACAAAACTATGCTCAGAAATCACGGAAGTAAACATTCACGCAACAACACCATCTACAATCTCTTTCTCACATCAAACTTCCCCTACTAATAATTAAGGACCTCTGCCACGTCATTTTAATTCATTTTTCCGTATACAAAACCAATTTTAAATTGAAACACGTAATGAATAAAATTATAGATTTGTTGGCCTTCACGGGCGTACTTGCACAATCCACCGTGGGAAAAAAGATGGCGGCTGTACATTTTACCACAATACCTTGCGAACCTAACACAGCCTGTAAGGCACAAAGAAAGCCAAATTTTTACAATATTTGTCCCTGTACGAAGGACATTGTTTATGCTAGGTTTGAAGATTTTGTAACTCTTCTGTACGTTTTTATGAACGTTGTTAAGGTTTTCGAGCGCTAAGAACTATGGGTAAATGTACCGATCGCCATCTTTTTTCCTACGGAGGATTGTCGTCAAGACAGAATTTTTCGAGTTAGTTCCATGGTCCCAAATAATCAGACGAGTTTCGATTACGCAGGCGGCGTAAAGAAAGAGGTGTCAATTCCTCGGATTTCCCTACATAGAAGTTTTTTTCGAACAAATAATGAAGAAATGTCGGAAATGACCCACATGTTGAAACTATGGCGCGTACACAACTGCTGTTTAATTCATTTCCAGTTCTTTTCAATTACATGATCAAAGTATTGTTAACCTTAAAACCACAGTTTTTAGTTTCTTTTATCTTTATCAAGAGAGCGTGAAGCCCGGCTTCAATCTCTCTTGCTTTATAAAGTCCATTCACAACTATAAGTAAACAAAATCAAATTTCAGTTACCACTTAAATGTAAATGCGATAGGCTGATCATAAAGTAGTTTAATAGTTCTTTACTCTCTTAAATCAACTCAAGAAACTAGTGAAGTGTAGCATGTCACTCTTGCATAGCATGTGACACGCATCAAACGCGTGGCAGCGTGCGAGTTAACGCGGTATGAAATGTCGCGCCGCAACCACCCATGCTATAAAGGTTAAATATCACCATGGAAGCACTAATTTCAAAGGAAAGTATTGCTCGTAAAGTTCCGCACTATAACGAACGGGTCATTGCTGGCACTCACATAAATCAACAAGAAAATAAGTGATTAGACCTGATAAACGTTTTGTCATCTACCTGAAATAGGCCAGATCGACTGGCATACTAGCTAAAAATACGAAAGCTCTGCGCTTTACCTCTACTGACATTATCTCCTGATACCCAAGTAACTACTCGACACAATTAGCGTTTGATTATTGTACAAGTCCATAACTTTGTTATAATTGTAGTGACTTTACGCCAAGAAAAACAACAACGGGCGCTGTTTATAGCATGGGGTAAAAAACTGACAGCACAAGATCACTTTAAAAAGTTTAGAAACCAACAACCTAACACTATGTCTTCTCTCATCTTCAACAGCCGTAGTTGACAATTCCTGGACGTGACAACATATTGCGTGACTCTGGCTAGACTGCTTGCAGCAGTTCGTTTCTCTTACGGTCAGAGGAGTGTGCATTTCCGCGAACGCGATTGGATAAGAAGGGGTCGCCGCGTCCGTGTCTGGTTCCAATCCCTTCTCGCTTCATACTCCCTGATTGATTTTGAGAGAAAAAGAGACTGCCAGCAGTCTAGGTTCCGGCACTTATCTATGGGGAGTAAACATAACTGGCGTGACTGTTCTGGCGTGACTGTTCACATCTTACTGTTGATATAGGTTGGTGCTAGGTGCAAAGGGCCATACTGCTACCTCGCCGCCAGTAGGATTGATCCCAGGGGGATTAAGCAGGGAATGTACGTGCGGAAGAAGGATGGAAGCTCGGGGTGGGGGGTTAGCGTTAGCGGGGCCCCCTGCTATGTTAGGGGGAACAAACGCGGTCTCTGTACTCTCGGAAGCTATGGGAGCCAGCATTCTGGAGATGACCACTTGTTGAAGCTGCTGTGCAGAGATGGTACTCAGGTTACTTCCCTGTGAGTTTCCAGCTTGCGAATTCAAAGCAATTCCTGACGAAATGTTCATATTTCTGTGCACAGGACTGTTTCCTTCGCCAGCCCCAAATGAAGATGTCCCTCGGATTCTCCCGGAAGGTCCAATCACAGAGGGGCTTGGAGATGACTGCGAACTCTGCACACTGATGGGATGTTGTACAGGGCTGCCAACGAACCCCAATACAACTGGCATTCTCTGAGCAGGAGTGCTGGTCAGGGAACTAGTAGCGACTGTGTTCAAAGGTGTTGTTCCGTAAAAATGGTTCGGGGTATTGAGAGGCGTGCAGCCAACCAAAGATGTCTGAGAACTTGCATGAGCCAAGGGAGCTACCCTGCTAGCGGCACGCGTACTTTCACTAGTGCCTTCATGTACCCCGTCATTAGACGTATCGTTAGTGACTGTTTGACTGGATTCGCTTTCCCCTGTCTCATCTCGACTGTCCTGGGGAACTTCTTCGGTCTCGCGCGATTCAGTGCCAGCGTTCTTTCCTTTTCCCTTTTTCCGCCTACAAGAAACATTACAAACGTCTTGTTTAGTAGAGTGTTCCAATAAATTATCTTGACTAGTTTTGCGGTAGTTTAAGAGCGGCTTTAAATGGAAAACACAGCAAACTTAACCATCGCCACGTGTGGCGTGGAAACGAGCGTGACCAAGTCGTTATTGGTTTTGGGTTCGCCTATGACAACTTGAGTAGTTGGCGCCAGTGTTTTTTTGTTTTCTATGGTCCGGATTTCCTTCGACATCGATTAAAAACCTTTCTAAATGGTCTGCAAAAAAAAAAAAAAACGACACTGATTCCTTCGACTGATTCAGAAGACAACGGCTACACCAAGGAGGACGCCTAGTTAAAATTGGATTTATAGTTTACCTTTGAATTTCGCAGCTATCTTCAATCATGGACAGAAGTCTTGGGACAAATTTGCACTTTTGGCGCTTTTCTGCACACGCCAGACGCGCATACAACTTCACCTGCCTAACCTCTCCCCCAACCCCACATACAAAGTTGAGTACCTGCAATTTCTACTGATTTTCAGCATGGTATTGGGTGGGAAGGGGGAACAGCAATGCGTTTTAAAAAGGAAAGCATGGCATTGTTAAAACCTCGGTTGCAAAACACAGATAATTCGTTACATCACAGTGTCCCAAGGACTTTTGTCCACGACTGTAGATCTGTTTAATACGCCGATCGCTCTCAAAACCGGCTCAAACTAAATATGTTATGCCAGGCATAAATTACAAAAGGAAATACAAAAATTAGCAGTCGTGGTTCACGTTCTCCAAAATATGCAGAACTTGGTCATTACATGTTGTTTTGCAGAAGACGGCGACAAAATGTACAACGATTTATAACGCTCGTGCACAGCCACTTTTCTACTCATTTAACCTTGCGTTTGGTGACGTTTTCGTTGCCCTTGCCGTCGTAGTTTGCTTAGGCTCCCTAAGACCTTAAGTTCACGGCACCACACTAATCACAAACGTGCACCAGTTCTCACATACCTTGATCTTCCTTCAGCACCATCTTGGTGCCAGCGCTTGAGGTGCTTTTTAAGGTTTCCTGCCTGAGCGAATCCCTGTCCACAATGCTGACATGAAAAAGGTTTGTCACCAGTGTGCGTGCGACAGTGCATGGCGAGGCTGCTTGGACACAGGAAAGCTTTGCCGCACAAGCTGCAGAAAAATTTCTTCTCTCGCATTCTCTCCTTGGGGCGCTGCTCTTTGTTGTGGACAAACCTAACGAGCACATCAACAAACAACTTTCATCTTACCTGCTAAACTTTCAATGATACCTTGGGTCAAGTAATATGCGGTTCAAATTCTTACGTCTTTGGAAGAAACTCGGCGTTCGACCATTCAAATGAAAGCCATTGAGCAGTATTTTCATGTAGTATTGTTTATTTTGCTGTACGAGGTGGTTCTAAATTTAAGGTCTCTGGATGAAACCCTGGTGTGTGGCCATTCAAATGAAAGCTATTGAGCAGTACTTTCATGTACTACTGTTTATTACGCTGTACAAGGAGGTTCTAATTTTTTTAAGTCTGTGGATGAAACTCCTGTGTGTGACCATTCAAATGAAAGCTATTGAGCAGTACTTTCATGTACTACTGTTTATTACGCTGTACAAGGAGGTTCTAATTTTTTTAAGTCTGTGGATGAAACCCCTGTGTGTGACCATTCAAATGAAAGCTATTGAGCAGTACTTTCATGTACTACTGTTTATTACGCTGTACAAGGAGGTTCTAACTTTTTTGAAGTCTGTGGATGAAACTCTTGTGTGTGACCATTCAAATGAGAGCTACTGAGTAGCACTTTCATGAGGTTCTGTTTATTTTGTTCCTCAGGTTAACTTTTACATCTGTGGATGAAACCTTACTGTGCGACCATCTATTTAAAAGCTATTAAGCAGTACTTTCGTGCGGTAATGTTTATTACGCCGTGCAAGGTGGTTGTATTAAGATTTATTCTATGGATGAATCCCTTCTCATAGTTTTGGGCTTTGTAAACTCACCTTACGTGTTTAGTCAGGTTCCCTGGTTGGCTGAAACCCTTTTGACAGACAGTGCACTGATATGGCTTCTCTCCTGTGTGAGTCCGCAAGTGTGATTTCAAGTCCGAGGGGCCTGGGAACATTTTGTCACAGTGTTGACAAGCATATTTCTTGGCTATCCTGGGGTTGATAGGTCGACCTTCTACCATTGGACAGCGTTTACATCTAGCGTTAGAAAATAAAATTAAGGGTTAGTTCATATTTAGCACGAACTGACTGACCACCCGACTGACTGACTGACCACCCGATTGACTGACTGACCACCCGATTGACTGACTGACTGACCACCCAACTGATTGACTGACCACCCGACTGACTGACTGACTAACTGACTAACTGGCCACCCGACTGACTGACTGACCACCCGACTGATTGA